TACTTCATGGTTGATGAGCGCGTACGATTTTTATGCACGAGTTGCGAAAAATTCCTATAAACGAACGAGTGAGCGCAGCGAACGAGTGAGTTAATAGGAATTTTTCGCAACGAGTGCATAATAAAAATCGTACAAGCGAATCAACCATGAAGTAATTTGTTTATTATATGAGTTATTATATTTTAGAGTGAAATTTAAGTGCTGAACGATAGACACAATTCAAACCAAACGTTTCAAACATATATAATATGCATCAAAAAGTACAACAATAGCTACAACAAATGAATTATTTCGCTTTAAAATTCTTGTATTATTATTCTCCTGTTGTTCAATGAATTCGCTTACGGATGGTGTCTCTGCGAAGCGTGAAGCCATTTCAAATCAAAAGTCGAACGGACATCTAAAAAAACTGATTTTTTGTTTTCTTGTACGCCAGTGGCGCGGCGGGAAAAGTAAATACGAAATTATTCACTAGTGACAAATTCCGTACGTCCAATGAGAAGGCTCAGGAGTAATACGACGTTCTTCACTAGTGGCGAATGTCGTATGTCCAATGAGATCCTCAGAAATTTTAGGCATATGGTTTTTATTCGACAACTTTATCGCGTATAAAATTCAATACTCATATAATAAATATATATACGAGTAGGTTTATGTAAACGAAACGCAAAGAGTGCTCAATACCATAAAGCTAGAGCAAAATTAATATAGAATTTCGCTTACCTCAAAATTTATATATATATATATATATATATATATATATATATATATATATATATATATATATATATATATATATATATATATATATATATATATATATATGTCATTTACCGCCTGCGAGGTCCGTACTGAAAAAATATTTTCCCGAGGTCTCAGAAGCGGCCCAAGGCCGAGGGACGCTTCTGAGGCCGAGGGAAAATATTTTTTAGTACGGACCGACCTAAACGGTAAATAACGTGTTTATTTTTTTATTTGATAGTTCATGGTTATCAATGAACTCCGATAAAATTCCAGTTGCGAAGTACATTTGAGATCAGTTACGTTTGTTACTTTTAGTGCAAGCCAGGTGCAAGCATGGCTGACAAACTGCTAAACGCGCTAACGCGCGTCGTGCGATAAATGCTGGATAAAAAGCTTTTAGTTTCATTGCAATAGATGCTTTTTTACTCAACAAGAAAACAGAAGGTAAACTAAATAAAAAATTTTATTTTCCGATTTGTTTTACAGCATGGACATGCTTGAAAAATGCTCTTTGACAGAAAAATACAAATTTTAGTTGCCGATTGAAAAACAACGTGTTCATTACAACTTTTATAAAAACAATTTTGACCGAAATAAGCCTAGGAATTGTCTTTAAACTTGGCATTTAAGGTAAAATTAAAATTTTATGTTTATTTAAGGACAAGTTGTACGTTGTACTATTTATATTTATACGTATATTTTCGAAGAATAGCTGCATGGATACATGTGGAGCATTTGAATCAAAATATGTAGCACTGGCCAGTGTTTTTTCGATGTTTATGTTTTTTTTTCGCATTTTGGTCGGAGAAAAGTACATTTTGGGCTTGGCACTAGGTCCACTGAAGCCAATTCACTGTATTTTACTGTCTTTGGTATCGATAGGGTGGATTTTTAAACCTTTTTGGTAGTGTTTTGAGTTTGAAAATTGTCTTCACTCCTCGGTTTGTCGCTAAAAAAGAACTCTTTTGGACCACGGTCAAGATATCATAAAAAGCTGCCCGCTGCTGCAGCCAATCAGATTGCAGGAAATCAAAAAATGTCACTGGGCATGCACAACTAAAAATATAAAGAATCTTATTTTGCGTTTGGCCGGTATTCCGTTCCATGGAGTTTTCGCACGAAAACTTATATACAATTTTAGACCTATAATCGGGACGCAATTTCAGGGCGCACTGGAGGAATCGAACCCGGGGCCTTGCGATTCCTGGTCAGCGTTCTGGCCACTGAGCTACAGACTCCAGCTGCCGAGCATTAACCATAACTTCTTGTAGGTAAACCAATGTTATATAGGTATATGTGTAAATGTATAAACAGTCAAGAACTCATGGTTAATGCTCGGAAGCTGGACTCTGTATCTCAGTGCTCAGAGCGCTGCATCGGAATCGCAGCGTCGTAGGTTTGACTGCCGTCCGGAGGATTTAAGTTGCAGAAGCTTTAAATTAAGTTGCGCAGAATTTAAGTTGAGGAGGATTTAAGTTGCGGAGGATTGAAGTTGCGGAGGATTGAAGTTGCGGAGGATTGAAATTGCGGAGCTGAGGATGGAAGTTGCAGAGGTTGCATATGTCGCAGCTGCTTCCTATAGGGCAAGATTGTATATAAGTATTCCTTCCAAAATTACATGCACTCATGCAAATATTAATGCAATGAATCTCGACCAGAACAGTGCTAGCATTATAAGATGCTGTGTGAATCAAACATTCTACGGGTAACTGAACCATATCTTTAAGATACGAAGTGCAAAAGCAAAAAAGCTCAGTTGAAGGCATACGTGCATATGTCTGTAGCATGATATAACGTTTGTTACTAAAGTTTTGATATGCCAGTAGTTTCGTTACTGGGATCCCCCAAACATATTGTTCATCGCTACATACACTAGCTATAACCCAACATTAATATTTCGTACCTAATTTACCAACTCTGAACGTTTGGCTCACTGTCACCATACGCGTTCTTGCTTCACAGATGTACTCGCCGAAGTGCGTGGTATTAACTTTTTTGATTTTCATAATCCCCGTGTTGTTTGGAGCGAAAAGATTTTCTACAGTATTACCTGATCGTCTGTACCATTTGAATAGGGGTCTAATATTATTGCCGTGCTTAACGTCGCATTTAAGGATAAGTTTTTGACCAATCCATGATCTGATTATTTTCGAGTCTTTACTTTTATCGCCGCGAATCATATCTAAAACAGAAATTTATTTGAAGTCGGAGTTTCTTCATTACATATATATATATATATATATATATATATATATATATATATATATATATATATATATATATATATATATATATATATATATATATATATATATATATATATATATATATATGTTTACAAATATTCAGTAATTTAAAACAATATATATTTTATGCCTTTTGACTGACTCGAATTACCGCAGAGTTTTATGCATCAGTCAATTCTAGCATTGTCCATCCCCCTCTCTCCTGGGCAAAAATTCTAGCATTGTCCATCCCCCCCCTCTCTCGGGCACCACAGGCATTTCTAATGGTGGCCGGTCATTGGTACTTGCAGGTTATTGGTACTTGCAGGGCGGGGAATTGTTTACCGGCCAGGTATTCATCTCGACCGGATGGTTCTGTGAAGAACATGTTTTATTAAATTAAAATGGCATATATAGAAGCTCAAGAACAGTGGAGGACACTTTATGAAATATTGGGAAGGGATTCAAATTGTTTAATTAAGGCTCTATATTTCCATTCCCCGCAGTCGCCATATTTGAAAAGCTTAATTAGGCTTTAGCCTAATTAAGCTTGTTGGCCACGCCTCCGCGTCGGATTCCGACGCAGATCCAACAGCGGGAACCAGGACCATCCTCGTTCCCAGGGCTTCTCGGCTGCCTGCGTTGCCGTAAGCCCTGGGACAAGCCAAACCGGAACACCACAAATTCTGGTGTTTTGCGGAAGTAAACGCGTTCTGCTGCAAGCTAAAAATGCTGACTATGCACTAAATTTACTGAGGAGTGGAGACGTGTTGGTGAGCAGAAAATATTGGATTTTTCTTTTGTTTCGATATATTTTCCACCATCAAGGGAATATGTGCAGACCACCTAATGGAATTATACATATTGGGGTTCTATATTTCGTTATATCGTTAATATTTGTCAAAATACAACCATATTTCGGTCTCGTATTACATGTATGAATTGTCATGTATGATGTAAGCGTGATCGAGTCGAAATGTGCTCGAAGTGGATTCCGAGGTGGATTCGAAACATCATGGGTTCTTGTACAGATGACTTGTTTCAACACGCGCTTGTGAAGTCACTTCAAAGACTGGATAAAACCGGACTGGAAATTAAAGAGAAGTAATTCGAAGCTTTATCGTCTAGCGTATGTTGTTGAACATTCACTTGTGAATAACAATGAATCACCTAACATTTCAAGAAAATATAAATTGTACATAAATGTCATGCATGACCCCATGAGTTTTGGATTTGAATTGCTAGATTTGAATCTATATTATGTATACAAAATCATGCGTGCGTAAATTTGAGCAAGAAAGCACAAGGTGTTTGTTTGGCCATATGCCCATCATGTAGTATGAATATTGAATACCGTTTTATATAGCACGTTTAAAACGTTATTTCCATGCCGGATAATCCTGAATCCTTCACCGATTACATGCGTGGCAAATGACAAAAAATATTTATGTAAAATAATTAACCTAATATGTCTTTGGCCATGATTGCAACTCACTATGCTGTTTTATACATTTGACAGTTAAAACTGTGTTCATGACTGTATGGCCCAATGTATGTTAATTGTTTCAGAGAAATTTTTGTTTTCAGATTAAAGTATAACATGATATTTTCTGCATTCCAATATATTTTCTACATGCAAGTGCACCTTACTGCATATTACTACACATTTCCACATTAAAAAAATGAAGTTTTCCAGTTCAATATATCTATAGCAGGAGGCTTAAACCAGAATTTCAGAATACAAAGCAACTTTTATGTCATTTTTGTAATGATTTGTGTAAAATCCATTTTTGTACAGACATGGTAGGGTGTCTCCTGGCTAGAAGCCTGCATATACATATAAAACATTTTCAGTTTTGTCAATAATAATAGTTTATTTTATAATTTCAATTCTTACAAGATTTTCAATAAGTCAACAAAATAAGTACTCTATTCTGAATCTGAACTGTTGACAGGAAACAGTGTAAATTCATTATCTCATCCAATATGATACAAGAAATCGGGACCCCCACCTCGGGCATACCAAGCATACCATACCATCACTTAATTTGGTGTGTGAAATTCAGTGAAGTCCCCTGCTGCCAGGACAAAAAGGCAAGGCAAATTTCTTTGGTCCTATCATCCCCAGGTATTCAATTGGAATTTTTAATTGAAATTTCCCAAACCATTCCTTTATTTACTGTTCTGTAAATCAGTTTCCTAGCCGACTGCTTTATTTCAGCATTTATATAAAAGACTAAGCCTTTCCTAGCTGACTGCTTTATTTCAGCATTTATATAGCTGACTGTTTTATCTCAACATTTATATAAAGGACTAAGTGACCTCATTCATTCCTCGACTTGGACACTGGAAGTAAGTGTGCATGTCTTCCCTGGTTGCCAAGAAATGATAAACCAGTGAATAAGAGGCGATTGTCCTTGTATTCCCCTCTGGTATGCCAAAGGTGCAAGGATTCAAATGACTGACACAATTGAATATGCTTATAAGCTTATTCACTGTATTTAATTAGAAGCTATTAAAATTACTCACTAATAATACAACTGAGAAAATTTAGAGATAGTAAAATACACCTACAATATTCTATATGCTATATTTTAAATTCCAATTGGCCATTTTAATATAGGGCTATTTAATATAGGCGGGTAAAAGCTAATAGGCCAAGTGACAAATACCAAAAGCAAAATAATTAATAAAACACAATATGTTACACCATTAAAACTTTACTATCGTAAATATATATTATTAAACATTTTATATTTACAGTGTGCCAAAATTTTAACAATTATACTTGAGCACAATGTTTTAATAATAGACAACTTTATAACAAGAAAATGTTAAAATGAAGAAACATTTTTAATGCTTCATAATTGACGTTTCTTCGATATTGTTGCTTACTTCTACTTTATAATTGCCCACTTTGTTATTTTCTTTCTTTCTGTTTGCAAATTATCTCCATTAATCCATAGAAAACAAGCATGATACGTTTGTATTTCTTCGTATTTCGAAAATGTTTCGAACGCGTACTCCTTGAAGGCAGCCATATTGCCGAATATAAACATCCACTTAATGAATGAACTTTTCATATTTCACTCTATTTCCAACGACCAATCAAATCACTTCTGCTTCGGCTTGTCCCAGGGCTTACGGCAACGCAGGCAGCCGAGAAGCCCTGGGAACGAGGATGGAACCAGGGCCAGTGACCGAGAGCAACGAGGGTAGCCCTGGCCTGGGGACGAGGATCACTGACGCTTTAAATGTTCAGGTCAATCTCTGACCCGGAGTCATCGTTGAGTTGATGATGGCTCAACGATGGCTCTGGGTACGATCATCGTTGATGATCATCAATGATCATCTCGATCATCGTTGACGATCCACTCAACGATGATTCTAGGTCAGAGATTGACCTGAACATATAAAGCATCAGTGATCATCATCCCCAGGCCAGGGCCACCCTCGTTGCTCTTGCTCACTGGGCCTGGTTCCCGCTGTTGGATCTGCGTCGGAATTCCGACGCGGAGGATGATATCTTGTACATCATCAACGATGGCTCTGGGTACGAGATTGATGTTCAGGTAGGGTATTCAACATTTTTACTCCGGAGAATGCATTGCTTTTCTTTAAATATTCCGCTGTTTGAGACTTCGGTCGTGGCCTTAAACGTAGAAAATTACCATTTTCTACTCCTTGATGCATAAGAATTACCAATGGGAGACATTTAAAAATGGTCTCTCAAAAAAGTAATTCGTCACCATATTGTTTAATATCTTGTACATTAGAATTAGTTGGTGCATGTCTCAAAATTCTGGAATGCATCTTCAATTTAATTGTTTTCTTATTTCATTGGATCTGACATCATAATCTTGACAAGTAATAACTCTTGCTGCACAATTTTGCAGACAGACAGACAGACAGACAGACAGACAGACAGACAGACAGACAGACAGACAGACAGACAGACAGACAGACAGACAGACAGACAGACAGACAGACAGACAGACAGACAGACAGACAGACAGACAACCAGACAGACAGACAGACAGACAGACAGACAGACAGACAGACAGACAGACAGACAGACAGACAGACAGACAGACAGACAGACAGACAGACAGACAGACAGACAGACAGACAGACAGACAGACAGACAGACAGACATTAAATAGACTATAATAAAGAACTGGGTTAATTGTATATTGGCAGATTGCATTTATTTTTTGCACAGGGGGGAGGTTGAGGACATACTTTAGCAGCTAAATGGTGACCCCCTGGAATACAGTTTATATACTTCCTTCCCTAGAATTTCCTAGGGATTCATTGCCAGATACCCCTGAAAAAGAGCGTTAAAGTTTAATCGCAAAGCATCCTCTGGATTTTGGTCTCTAATCACCCCACCTCTGGATTTCTGCGGTCTTTTCCACTCCTCCTCCTGGATTTTCCAAGGCCTTTTTACTCCCCACCCCTGAATTTTAATATTGTCCTCTTCCCCCCCTTGTGTGGAAAATAAATGCAATCTGCCATTACATGAGCAAGTTACTAAATGAGTTAGATTATATATCGAATTTGAAACCCTAATTGATCAGTTGGCTTAAATTATAATATTACAGTACGTGTAAAACGTTGTACTCCTGAAAACTGGTGCAGCAGTATTTGCAAATCTTCTCCGGAGCCCCCATGACATCAATACTGTCATTACTATTAAGCTAGACCAAATCAGTCACCCAACTAGACCTTAGCTAGACTGCATGTCAAGTATCAAAAATGATATAATTGATTTAAAGAACGTACTCAATTTTAGACACTCGAATTCAAGTTGGGGCCTTATTAAGGTGGGGCCTCGGAGCAATTTGCTCCCCCCTGCCGCCACCTTCCTGGTGCCCTGCACAGGGTAAAATACTAGAAACGCTTCAGGTAAACGTTTCCCGAGCAAACCAGTTCTACATAAGGCTGGTTTACACTATCCGCAAAGTTTCTG